CCCCAGTTTTCACTATTTCCTTCTCTTCCAAACCTGCTGCTTCTTCTGTTTTCTGTGCTTGTCTCTTCTGCGCCCTCTGTTAGTGGCGTTTGCTCGCGTACCGCAGGCGCTGAAGTGGGAAGGAGCTCAGGCAAAATATGAAGTAAACCTTATTTTGCGTTGCCGCTGCTCTGCTCTTTGGTTGCATGTTTGCTAACGCCTTTATTCATTAAAGCTTTATTGCATTACAGCAAGCTGCATCTGAATCCCTCCCTAAGCATTAAGCTGCTTAGTCCTCCACAGGACCTAGTCCAGGACTCAGCATACGAAAAGTGACACATCTTTCCTGAATGGAAAACTCATCAATCTCCAAATATTTATTGAGCACCTACTGTGCGCTCTGAGCTAAGAATCCATCACAGGACGACATTGTCCCTGATCTTAAAGGGACGCTGTATTTGTTTTGTTTTCCCTGATCTTAAAGGGACACTGTATTTGTTTTTCTAGCCACGAGGACTTTTTACACCTCTTGAAAATGAAATTGGAATTGTGTAATTGAGTAGTTTAAGACTGACGGGTTATCTGTCTCCCGTATCTTTTTCTACCTTTCCTATGAAAGAATAATTTTTTGGAGTAGATTATTTGCGGGGAAATGTTGCCAGATTTCACTATATAGAAAATTTGGTGGATAAACCCAAAATAGTATTTAAGACCTGAGGAATAGCAGAAATGTTCTTTCTCTCTCTTTTAATTAAATATCATCCACAAGACTTAAGGATTTCTTACTTTTTTTTGGTAACAATTCCTTCCCTTGTAGCCACATTTTCAGACAGGGTTGATGCATTTTGACCGAAGCATCATTTTGAGTGTAAGAAACAATTGAGTAAGTGTCAAATACTAGGTAAAAACAAACTCCATGTGAAATAAAAACCTGTGGTTTTCTTATATTTGGACATCAAGGAACTGACAACTTTTGTTTACCTTTCAAGCATTATCATGATAATAATTGCAAGCCCCTTAACAAAGAATACCTAGAGCATTCAGCTCTCACCTATACTCTCCAACAGATTTCTTAGTCTCCCAACTAGAAAGATGCCTAAGTGCTTCTCCTTGAAAACAGTTCTTAATGAGACACTGGAATATTAAAAGCCAGGGAGATTAATAAAGGTGACCAGCTTGTGATATTTTCATTTACTTGGATGTATTGGGCAATCTACCCTAGTAATACCGCCTTGGAAACTCAAGGAGGGGTCGCTATGAGTCGGATCCTACTCGACAGCACTGACTTTTTTTTTTTTTTTGGTTTTGAATGTATGATTATATTTTTATAATGTACCTTCAAAATAATATTTAGGAAAATTGTTTGACTATGTCTCTTTGGAAGGCAGCTATGCTCACCACTATACCACCAATGCCACACTTGACTATGTCTCTTTGGAGTAAAGAAACTAGTTTTACCCTAAGTAAGGTAGCCTTTGCTCTTGGCTCTGGGGAAATGACCCTTGGAGCAATTGGGGTACCTTGACCTGAGATTTCCATGCCACACCTGAGGATTTGTGCTAGCAAGTAGAGGCTGGCCAGGCCAGAAAAGACTCACTTGGGAGACTGATAACAACTAGCCTCAGGAGGCGTGATTTAGCTTCTTATGTGGGACTGGCTGATAAAAGCTCTGAACACTAAGGCTCAGAGAGCTTCCTGGTTGATGAGAATAGCGTGTCCCTTGGGAGATGGAGGCTCCACGTTGAGAGCTTTCCCAAACTTGCCTTATACATTTCTTCATGTGTGTCCTTTTTTGGCTATACTAAATCTGTACTCTCTGTGGATTCTGTCAGTTATTCCAATGAATTATCAAACCCAAAGGGGCAGTGGGAACCAGCAGGTCAGAAAGTAGAGATATCATATGGACTCCTGAGCTTGCAGCCGGCATCCTGAAACGGTAGTGGGTAACTTGCCTCAAAATTTGTGTCCAGCAGGTCAGAAGGTTGGGGTGTTGTGTGGCCTCCCAAACTTGTAGCTGGCATCTGCCTATTTGGCAGTCTGAAGGACCTTGTCCTTTTAACTTGTGAACTCTGACCTGGCTCCCAGAAGCTAGGTTCAGAGATGAGTGTTGTCTGGGGTGACTGGCAATCAGGATGGAGAAGTGAGAAAAAGAGGACTGGAGTTTGGGAATTCGATTCAGGCTGATCCTTTACTGTGCCCACTCAAATTTATAAAGAAATATTTTCTTCAGGTTTTATAACTTTCCCTTTAATAAGTTCCTCTTTCAGTCAGCTGATGTTTTTCTTTATCTTTGCTCTAATTTAAACATAGCCCCCTCACACACACCCCACTTGGTTCACTTCATTTTTTCTGGCTTGTTTTCAGCTTCTTGCTTAATTCACTCCGTCTTTCTGTGTACTACCTATAAAATGTTTCTATGCTCTCTCCAAAATTAGAAAAAAAATGAAAACAAACAAAAATCCAAAATACTCCGTTTCTCCTAATCAGTTTTAGAATTTACACCACATAGTGCAGATCTATCATCCTTAACCCTCAATTTCAAAACACAAAACACTCTCAAAAGTTGTTTCTTTTTTTCTTTTTGTAAATTTGTAGCAAACTCATTTAATGGAAAAACCTACAAATTGTTGTGAGGCTCTTTCTACCTTTGATTATCCCACTTTGTGTGAAAATATGCAGCTCCAGACCCTTTGTGTAATTTACAGTATATGTACCATGTTGTTGTTAGTTACTGTCAAGTTGGTAGTATACGTAAAAAAATCTTCAAAAAAAATCTGGATTCTTCAACACAGCCCAAATTAAAAGTTTCATATATGGGATGGTGGACCTGCATTTACCCTAAAGATAAAAAAGCAAGAGCAGGGGATTCCAACAGGTAGCAAATACTGAATGAAAACCTACCAAACAAACAAATAAAAAGTTACCTGGCTAGAAGTGAAATAGGAGGTGGCGACAAAAATATTTGTATAAGGCTAGTGGGAAGAAATATTGAAATAGATCTAAATATGAGACATTAAATAGGCCTAAATTGAACTGTGAAGCAAATTAGAGTCCCAAGCCCAGGATAATTGACTCAAGACCATGTAGAAGTGATGACTTTGAGGCCCTGCACTATAGAGTCAAACAAAGGTCAGAGGTGCCCTTCTTTGATGAAGGCCTAGATGGAGCACCATGACACCATGATCATCCTATCTCTGGATCTCAGGAAAACAAGGGTTATCATCTAGTGGCCCTAAGTCTATCACCATGTGTTCTGGTTACCTAGTGCCACTCTGACAGAAATAAACCACACGTGGGGTGGCCTTAACAAACAGGAGTTTATTCTCTCACAGTTTGGAGGCTTTAAGTCTAAGTTCAAAGTGCCAGGCTCTAGGGGCTGGGTGAAAGCCCCTCAACCTTGGGGTCCAGCTCTGCCTCCTGCTCCCAGCCCACTGGAGCTAGAGGCTTT